GTTCTCACTGATTATACAAATCTGTGTTACTTTTTAATAATAAAGAGCTTGATAGAATGTTAAGCCAGGTGAGTGAAGCTGCTTTCAGAGTATAATTTCTATATCTGATATTATTCAGATCAGCTTAACTCTGCTGACACACTGTCTAGACAGTCTGATTATAATATTATTAATATGAAGAAGAATTCTATAAAAGAATCTCTATTATCACTGCAGAAGAAGCTGACTGCAGAGAATTGAAATTCTCTGAAGCTCAGAAACAGCACTGATAAGACAGCTATACAACTCAGTATAGAAGGTAAAAGAAAATCTGAGTTCTTACAGAGAACTGACACTGAAGATCATGAGCTTCTCATATTATATCTTACTATTATTAAATTGATAAAGAATAAAATGATCTACAATCTTTTAACTTAACTACTTTTAAAATTTATTAATAAGTTATAGAAGAAGAACATCTCTACTACAGCTTAAATTCAGAAGTTGAAGAAGAAAGAATTCAGTTTAAACTTGAAAGAGACAGACTCTGAGTAGAACAGTGCTGCTAAGAAATCAAGTTACTGATAACTAGAAGAATATGAACTTCTACTGCTGAATAATTCAGTCTTCATCTCTTGTAGCAGAGTGATGTATCAGAAGTTATTAAGAATTTATCATAATAATCTTCATACAGAGCACTTCAGATTAGAGAAGACTGAGAAACTTCTAAAATATAAATATATTTAAAACAAGCTTCAGACAGATGTTAAAGAGTATATTAAGACTTATAATATCTGTTAAAAGATAAAGATTCTGTAATATAAGTAATACAGTAAGTTAATATCACTGCCTGTTTTAAAGAGCTTATGATAGAATCTATTAATGAATTTCATAGTTAATCTGCTAAAGTTAATAAGAGTTAAAGAATATAACTCAATTTTGATTATTATTAACTACTTTATAAAGATGATCAGATATATCTCTACTTATAAAAAGATTAAAGCCTCTGAATTAACTGATCTATTTTTAAATATCATTATTTATAATTATAATGCTTCAAAATTATTGATAATAGATTAAGAATCTCTCTTTATTAGTAAATACTGATCAGCTTTTTACTATCATCTTATAATAAGATATTTTCTCAGTACTATATTTCATCTGTAGATAGATGACTAGACTGAATACTAGAATTAAACACTAGAATAGTATCTTTAAATATTCTGTTTATATTATCAGAATAATTAACTCAAACATCTTCTAATCACTGAATTTATATATAATAATACAAAGAATGTAATCTTAAAGATATCTTCTTTCTATACTTATTATAAATATAATTCTTCATTACTCAGTAACATTGTGAATGATATTTTAAAGAGAGAGATAGATAGTCAGAATATTAAACAGATACAGAGAACAGAGTATTTCTTAGTATTAGAAGTAAAAGTGAGATTGAAACTTTTGAATAAAATTCATAAGAAGATGATGAAAAGTATCTACTATACTTAGAAGTAACAGATAAAATACTATAATTGAAAACATCTTTTAATAAAGTTTTTAATAGAGAATTAAGTACTACTTTTAGTAAAGAATATCAAGACAATGAGACTGTGTAAGAAGCTCAGTGAGTAGTGACTAGAATCTTTCTCAGTAATAAGAGTGATAAGTAAACAGATATATAAGTTAAAATTATTCTCAGAATTGAAATCAATTCATTCTATTTTTCACATTTTCTATTTAAAGCTTTATAAGTTATATTTCAGAGTAGAGCTGTCTCAGCTGAATAATATTAAAATTAAAAGTGATACTGAATATCTTATAAAGAAAATATTGAATAAGTGAATATATTATAGTAAGCTTTAATATCTTATTAAATAAGAAGATTATTCATTATCAGAGAATTTATAAAAATTACTTAAGTATTTGAAGAATACTAAGAAAGAGATTGCAAGCTATAAGATAGTTAGTAAAGACTGTCTTATTATATATCAGAGATATTAAATAAGAAATACTGCTTAAAACTTCTCATTTTTTCTTAAAGAATTTTTAGAGATAATCTTATAATAATAAGTCAATATCTTATAAGCTCTGTAGTACTCTTCTTCTATTTTCTCTTAAAGAGTTTTTTAGAAGTTTAATAAGACTATATAAGTATAAAATTTCTGAAGCAGTTAATAAGAAAAGAAAGAAATATTTAAAATTAATAAAAAAGATTAATATTATTAATTTATAAGCTGCTACTATTCTAATGAGACTGCAGCCTGCTGAAAAAGTAAAAAGAGAGAATCTCAGAGTCTACTCATTAATAATTACATTCTTATTAAACTTATTCTTTATTATTAAAGTCTCTGACACTGATATCTTTATCTGCTGAGAAGTTAGTACTGTGATACTATAGAGAAGCATGCTATAGAAGAGTATAAAAGATACTGAAAGTATCAACTTATTAACTTATAAAATATCTCAGTTATCTGCTTTAACTGAAGTGAGATTCTCTTTAATCAGTGATTAATCTTTATAATACTTTTAATAGCAGTGTTAATTAATCTCTTCTTAAGACTAGTCATTCTAAGATGTTTTTTCATCTCAGAGATTTATACTTTCATTTTCTTTTATAGATGAGTAAGAGAGATCTTCTCAGTCTTAATAGAATCTATTAATACTTAAAGCTCTGAGACTCTTACTCTGTACTACTTAAGTATCTAGACTTCTTATCAGAGCTGATATAACATCTTTCTGTGAGATAATACTTACAGAGAGACAGAAGTCATTGTTACAGATATAATGAAAATAACAGAAGTAAGAGAAGAAGTAAGTATATAAAATTCCTCTCTTCTTCAGCTGTTTAATATAGTGTAGATAAGTAATAGTACTAATCAGAGACTGTACTGAAGTCTTTTTACAGAGAGAAAATAAAGAAACTGTGAAACTCTGTAAACTTAACTTAGTAGTATTCTGAGCAGAACTCAGATATACTATAAGAGAGAAACTATGAATTAAGCTTCTTAGAGTCACTGTTTCTGAAATCAAGCTCTTCTCAGATTTCTCTTCAAATGATCACACAGAGTCATATATTACTGTATTAACTGAGAGAGAAGATAGTATTATAATAGTAGTGAGAAGAGCAGAGAAAGAACTGAATACAGATAAACTAATTAGCAGAAGAAATAACATCTCACTGTAAGACACAGTAACTACTATCACAGCTGCAAGAGAAGCAGAAGAAGAAGAAGAAGAAGAAGATATAATAATAAGAGCAGTGCTTCTGCAGTTTATTAATACTATCATCTTCATCTTTAACCAGGCTTTCTTAACAGTTACAGAGACTGCAGTCACATTATAAAGATGTTTATTCACTAGAAAATGTCAGAATAAGCTCTTTATTATTCTTCAAGAATGATACTCTCATACACTCACTGTTATAATTGAGAAAGAGAGAAGAAAAATATTTCACAGAGAGAGAAAATCTTTTTAAAAAATTCTATTACTACTGTTAGCTTTGCTTCTAAAAATACATCACTTTTACAGAGAATTTCATATATAAAATGAAATATATTGAGAGATCTGTAAGTTACTTATTAACTATGTTTTTCACATTTTAAATCAATATATAAGGAACTCACTTATCACACATTTAATTTAAATAAAGATGAGAAAAGAAAGATCTACACAGTCAGCAGAAAAACTCATCTATTTCTTTATATCATACATAGTATATACACTGTTAATCAGTTAATAACTGTTACTATATAACAAAGATAATTTCTAATCTGATAATCTTAAGAGCATCAGAACTATGCTCTTAAAGAGAAGAGTATTATCACATCTCTGATCATGTCAAGGCCTCACTGCAGTTTCATACAGCTTATCACTTTCATATAAATGATTTCATTCATTCTGCAGGCTGTCTGAACCAGTTTCCAACCACTCTATGACATCATTCAGATATATCATAGAAAGATTCAATTGATGAATATGAGAACCTCACTTCTATACAAGATCAGCAGATTACTCTTTCTTGACAATGAGATGCTGCTGAGGTATCACTCCAGCTATTCTCACTCATGGAATGAAAGAAGGGTATTCACCCATTGTCTATATAGAATAGCTAGATGCTGGCTTCTCATCAAAGAAGCCAGTGATTCATTTTTCTTCTACTGGAATATATACAAGAGTTACTGTGTGTCTCATACAATCTTCTTAGTATACTAAGTACCATATCTGTGATATCCTCGCAATAACCCTGTAGCCTACAAGCTCGCTATTCAAGCAAGATAATCAAGCCCACCCATACGGCTTCCCAAACAACTACCCCTACATGACGCCGCCGACTAGCCACCGCTTCGGTTCCGCCACGTTACAACTATATTCAAAATATTTTCTTTACAGTGTGATTTTCTGTACACTGTGGCACACTCACTACAGAGAGTGAGTAAGCATGGCACGGTTAGTGGTTAAATAAGTGTAATTTTATATAAACGCTCGTATTGGTATAATTTATTAAACTAGCCCTAATTACTCCGTACATCTGCCATTGTCTCCAACAAACATGCGGACATAATAATGCAATGCATCCAGTACCACCAGGGTAATCTAGCATGCGAGTCTTTGGGGAGTCTCATCAAGTGGCCTCATGTTTCTCAAAAGGTGGTAAAGAAAAAGTGCACGTTTCATCCCCGAATTACTATAAGTCAATTACTTCTCATTAGATCAGAGACAAAATGAAGAAGAAAGACGCATTTTCTTGTATCTTTTTCCATTTGCATTTACCGCTCTCGTTCGTCGGCTATTTCATTTTATGTCCTCTACTGTTTCGTTTTTAACGTATTGCCGGGCATTAATAAGATATCGGGAATATCCATCACATCTTGTCGGCCACTTTCTATTGCGACAGGGCTCCATGCCTCGAATATATTTTGCGCTTCTGATAGTTAACTATAGTTTACCTTTGTTGACCGCACCGCATTTCAGCAATGATGAATTTACATGTGATCCTGCGTAAGAGTTGACACAATGAGTATTTGGAGGGAATGATATTTGTCTTTTGTGCTGCCTGCTGATATCATATACATACATAACATATTGCGATTGCGATTCCCGTCTCTGCAATCCTGAGTGTTCTGCCATAAGCACAGCAGGTGATTCAAGCACTTGAATCAAAACAGATCAAAGCTTGATCCAGATGATTGATGAGGCTTGTTCTCCCCAGTCATCGGAAACACTGCCTACGGAAATTTCCCAACAGAGCACAACATCAGAAGGAAGAGGTCTGTTTTTGGCTCCGAGTGCCCTCTTGCTTCCTGAAGGGTCGGCGATGCCGGGGAGCTGTCATTACAGCGTATTGAAACAAAGCTGCCCATTTCAACTCCAGGGTTCACTTCGCTGTGGCGTCACTGGCGTTGGGACAAGAAGAAGTGTTGAATGATGTTTCGATTGCAACTTGCGCCTCAAACGCGGAGCCGCACTTTATTCTCCACACCACACACAAATCACTCCAAAAACTCTCGCAAAAGAATCTCCCCTCATTATTATTATTGATTAGTTATATAGCTTATTGTTCCTCCTCATCCGCCGCTCTTTTTCTCTCCTCATCGATCTGCCATCCATCACAGAGGGCAGATCCTGTACGATTTGACAGGACACTGCGCATCTCATCCGGTCTCGCTTGCTCAGGGCTCACCCAACCCACAGCGCGGGGTATCAAGAACGCCCAACCTGGCCTGGTAACTAGCCTGGTCATCTTTTTTTAGCGAACAAGCCGGCCACGGTGGCAGTGCCGATCGCCATCAACGTGCCAAACCGGCCGCAACCTAACTCCGCTAGTTTTTCACGTCCATCGTATTATCAGCCTACCAATTTAAGCACAGGCTCTCTGGCAGCAACTCGCGCAGGAGAAGCGTGGAAGGACCTCCACCGTCCAGAAGAATTCGCCAAACCATCGTCCAGCTCATTGGCTGATTGGGATGAAGTTCGTCCTTTAGTTACATCTAACATCTCGTATTCATTAGGCACACGCCAGAACACCGCCGCTTGGCGGCCTTTTTTCACAAAATGATGGAACAGCTGATTGAGCCCACATCAGGCTCAGCCTCGCGTGTTGATTGCTCAGAGATGTCCAGAGAAAAATTCCAAGCTCGAATTGATGATTTACCAAGCATGGTTTTTAATGGGAACGCCTCGCACCATGCCTCCTTTTTTTGGTTTTTACGCATCACTTTTCTTCCCCATCTCTCTCCTTTCCATGACCATATCAGCATAGACAATCCAATCTCTGTTTTGCGCACTTCATTGTTCGTCGCATAACACCATGCCTTCGTGGTCCCGCATAGCCGCTTTCGCGCTCCTCGCGCTCTCCGCTTCTTGCTCGGCTCTCGAGCTCGGCGAAGTGGTCTCAGACTTCTCCGATATCTTGGTCGGCGACCGCGACGTGATGGACAACGTGACGCTAGCCGACTCAGGAGACCTGATATCACTGGCAAAACGCGCCTGTCCAGCACGGTGCACACAGTACTGTTGCGTCTCCGACGGCACCTGTATCCCCTCGACGGCCTGGAGCTGCTGCGGTCGCGGTATCGTTTGCGGCCCCGGACGGAAATGCTGCCATAACGGCTGCATCAACGACAATGAAGAGTGTTGCCGGACCGCGGGTAGGCATTGTAGGGCTGGGTATGAGTGCTGGCTCATCAACGGCCGGCCTAGGTGCTGCCCTCGAGGCGTGTGCGGGAGTGGTGGTAGCGGCGGCGGCGGCGGCGGCGGTTCTAGCAGAACTACACCCGCACCACCTAGCCCTCCACGGACAAGACCCAGTTTCGATTATTATACGTGGACAGTAACCTGGTAAGTTGACTTTCTCTACCTAACTCCTGGACCCGATGCATGTTGTAGCTAGCTAGCATACGATTGCTACATGCGCAACAAGGGAATTCGCGAATACAAAGAATATATATAACAATAACTAACATCTACCAGGACATACCGCGTCACATTCTACACGTCAGTTACAATCCGCACAACCACAACCACCACTACAACAAGCGTCGTCTCCTTCTATGCCTCAGACTCAGCCGACGCCTCGTCTTCCTTCCGTGCATACACCGCCACAGCGACCTTCGACCCCCCCGCCAGCGCAACTGACGTCCCAGAACCACCGGGAGGCGGCAGAGGCGGCAGCGGTGGCGGCGGTGGCAGCGGTGGCAGCGGTGGCGGCAATCTGGTCGCCCTTCCACCTGGCGAATCAGGGAGCAGCGGTATCTGGAGCTGGCACGCGGCGCTCCTTGCAGGCGCTGCTCTTGTTCCTGGAATCCTGGCGGTTTATCTGTAAGGGGTTAGTATCCAGGTCCTTGGACCGTTGAGATTCTAGTTTGACGCAAAAACATGATATCCATTTTTGTCTTCCTTTTGTAAACGTGTGGGGGTGATATGTCCTCCTAACCCCCTTATCTTCCCTCTTCTTGTTTCTTTCCTTCTTTGATGTTGTTTCCTTCAAGCCCGACTTTCCTACAGTGAATATCATGGGTTTGCCTTCTTGCTTGTGTGACAAGTGGCTTGGAAATGACATCCTTCTTGATAAACGGTTAATGTCCTAAGTTAGAGTGTGAGGAATATATACGGATAAACATGCCTATGAGTATATAACGCCTTTATTTCATGTTTTGGTCTCTATTTCTTTGCGAGCTACGCTCCAGGACGGTGATGATTCTAGGCTAGTATAGATCCAACAACTAACTAATCTCATAATTGAAGTAATATCAACAACCCTTAGTATATAATCACTAACATAAAAATATTCATATAAGTATGCGTGCTGCTAGAGTGGGAGACAAAAGCTCCTCCAACCACGCTAAACCCTTCCTGGCCACCTCTTGTTCCCTTCCCAAAAGACATTTCGCAAAGCTCCAAAACCGCGTCCAACAGCTCGACCAGCTCGATTGACCCGCTCAACCAGCTCCTACAGCTCCCAGCACAGGCAGCCCACCATGCCGGCGTTCAAAGATGAACATATACTGGTATGCATTATACCTATATAACCCTGCTTGAACCCCGTTTTCCCTGTCTAATCATTCCTCACAATGCATCTGCTGATTAAAACTTCCCCCTAACCATCCAGATTATTGCGCCGGGTTCGCAAACCACCCTGGCGCAATTAGGTCTGCCCGAATCCTTCACGCCTGCGAAATTCCGATTCCCGACTCGCATGTTCCCGGCTGAAAAGAAGGGCGAATGGGAACCGTACAAAATTCGTGAGAAGATCGTGGTGAGGAAGGCCGCGCCCGCGACAGTCCCCGCACCCGCCACTACCACTGCGACGACTGATACCACCGCGACAACCGATGCGCCAAAGGAGGATGGTGTTGAAGTTCAACCAGATGTTGAGATGAAAGATAAACCAGATGTTGAAATGAAAGATAAATCAGATGTTGAAATGAAAGATAGCACCGAAGCAGAACAGCCAGCAGAGGACGCGAAAGCAGGAGATGCAACGCAAGACGAGAAGAAAGCGGACACCACCACCGCCACTACCACTACCAACATCGTTGAAAATGGCCAAGAGGGAACCACCGCTACCAACGCTGAGCAGCCAGAGGAGGAACAAATAATATACGAAGAAGATCCAACGTCAGACGAAGGCGCCGTCTACCCGATCCGCAACGGCGAAATCGTCGAGTGGTCGTGTTTCTTCGCCCTCCTATCCCACATCTTCAAGACCCTCAGTCCGCCCTTTCACACCCCCATCATGTTTATCGCGCAGCCGGTATGGACCGCGCGGGATCGCGAGGCAATCACTCAGTTCGTCTTTGAGAAATTCCAAACGCCCGCGTTCTGTCTGATGGACTCTGCCTTGGCCGTTTGCTACGCGTACGGCACCGCAAACGCCACGGTGATTGACATCGGTCATGGCAAGGCGGACGTCACTGCCGTGACGGATTTCAGTGTCAACGAGCATGGCAGGGGATTGGCGCTGGCGAACTGCGGCGGCGAGGCGATGACGGACCGGCTGGAAGAGTTGCTGGGTCCCAAGGGTTTAACGCGCGATATGTGCGAGCAACTAAAGAGGAGCAATATCTGCGAAATCCTCCCTGCGAATATTCCGCTTCCGGGAAGTTCGGAGACGGCGTCGCAAATACCGAATTCGTCGGATGTGCTTGGTGCAGCGGGCCCCTCGAAGCCTGTCCCGGGGCTTGCGGGCAAGGGAGCTGAGGCGGCGAATGTGATGGGGGAGGACAATGATGATGAAGGCGTTCTTGACGTGGCAGCTATCGTTAGTAGTGGTAATACGAGCGAATATCTTGCCCGGAGAGAACGGGAGAAAGCCGAGCGGACGTCTGCGAAGAAGGGAGCTACGGATGCTGCTACGGGAAAACCAATTCGGTTACCCAACTACAAAAAGGAGCTGGCGACGTTCCAGTATCATGAGTTTGTTAAAGTTGAGCCTAAGGATGTGAACGCACAGAGCACTACTGCCCAGTATATTCGGCAGAGGCGCGATATCGAGGTTGGGATTGAACGATTCCTCGCACTAACCCCCAGCGAGACGAAGTCCAAGGACCAGTGCAGCTACGGCATTCTCGACACACTCGCCGCCCAAATCCACCATACCATCCTTTCAGTCCCCGATGCGCCCAAGCGCAGCGAATTATGGGACTCCTTCATCATCCTTGGAAACGGCAGCAAAATAAAAGGTGTGTCCCCCCCCCCTGTGGATTCTCTAAACACAAAAAATTCAAAAATAAAAACAAAGCTAACGGCATATACAAAACAACACAGGCTTCCCCCAAGCCCTCCTCGCAACCATAACCCAAAAATACGTCCTCTCCCCTTCGTCCGGAACAATCTTCACCTCCGAATTGCCCTCGCAAATGTCCACACCACTCCCAACCGGCGGCACAAACACGCCAGCCCACCTCCAGAACCCAGGCCCCCTCCACCATCCAGCAGCCCACGGCGTAAACCCCCTTCTCGTCGCCGCCACCCACGCCAACAACCCTTCAACCCCCAACCACCTCAATCCCCATGACCCCCACGGCACGAACTCCCCAGCAGCTGCAGCTGCCGCTCACCACCACCAACAGCACCACCGCTCAACCGGCCACTCACAAACACCTACCTCCATCCGCCTCCTCAAGCCTCCCGAATACTTCCCAGAATGGAAGAACCAAGGCATCAGCGGCTCATCCAGCGCAATCGGCGTGGGCGGCTTGCAGGTATCCTCATCAGCAGCTGCAGCTAGTGCGACAGCTGGGGGTGCCGGGGGCGCGGGAGCGGGAGCGGGAGCGGGAACGTCGCTGCTTCCGGGGCTAGGTGGCTCGGGCGGGCAGAATGTGGGGATGGAGGAGGCGACGTTTTTGGGGGCGCAGGTTGCGGCGAAGGTTGTGTTTGTGATTGATCAGGGGGTTAGTAAGGGGTTTTTGAGCCGTGTGGAGTATAACGAGGCCGGGCCGGCGGGGATTCATGATTGTTCGTTGTAGGTTGTAGGGTGCGTGGGTGGGTTCGTTTTCCTATATGTATTATTGTAACCACGATGATCGAGCGAGTGTGGAAAAAAAAGGAATTTTTGTTGCCTTTTCTTTTCGGAAATTTACGGCGGAACCTTTTATAAATTTGGGAATGGGACTGGTGTTTTTTTGGGGGGCGTGATACATATATTCCCTCTTGTTCTTGTTTTGCTTTCTCTACCCCCCTGTTCTTCGGGTTGCTCTTCTTTTTTTTGTCGCCCTCAAAATGTATCAAGCTAGATATCTACCTCAGTACATCTTTTACTACACCAATTGAGATCGACTGATTCTAAACTAGTTCGTTCACTGATACATCATATCATCCGTCACTCATGCCATCTATCGTGCGAAGTGGGCATAAAATGTTATAATGAAAAAAAGAAAGGTATCATACATAATAAATCGTAAATGGGACTCCATGTGGGGAATGTAATAAGTTATATATAAATGTGGATATAAAACACAATATGAATCTGCCGGAAACTGATCCAAATCCAGAGATGGCTCTAACTAGAGTAGGTAGAAGTAACGTAACAAATCCTCGCCAGCTCGCACCGTTTGGACGATTTCCCCTGATTCACCACTACCCGGCCCCCTTTTCTGCGGCACGGGGCATGTATGCATGGTAGGGCTGTTTGGTTCCTAGCATGATTGCCGCGTTCCCATTCCCGTTGCTGTGTGAAGGATGGAATGGATAGTGCGTGGCAACTCAGGCTCGTAGGTAGGGTGAGCCTGGAAGAGCAGGGCTGACACCCTTCTTTGGTTGTCCCGCGGTGGCACGTTTCAAAGGGGGGAGAAACGGGTTGTGCAAATCGGAAGAATTAACATGTCCATGCACACTTAGCGTTGTATAAAGCACTCCCGGATTATTGTTGTCCGGTATGAACAACTATTATTATTATGGTCAGCTAGCTAGCAAAATCACGAGGGGAAACACGATGCGTGACCCCCTCCCCGTACCCCCCCGGAGGAGGGCATATTGTATATTTAGCTTCACACGTTACTTACCAAATAACCTCAGAGTAGGAATGCTGTAAAATCTATCGTACGCAAGCTGCGCACTCTCAACTGCCCGCATTATACTTCTCGCCCGCACAGCGGAAGAGTTCCTGCTGCTGTCGGAGCAGCTCTTCTTCCGTGAGGCCGCTCTGCTCCATCTTATTGACTTTTTTCTCGCGGGACTATTTGATATAGGTATCAGTAAAATCCTTGCTACTTTTCTTTGCCGGTAACTTAGGTTCTACATCTGATAGATAGATACTATATTGCAGCCTCTGGTCTCATATATCCATGCCAAAAGATCCAAAAGAAAGAAAATGGAACTCACCTTCAGCTGCTCCCTGTGCTCCTCTGCCACCGCAAGTACGTCAGGTACATAATCTCCAAAACCCAAATCCGTTAGCGCCTTCTCGATGTGTTCGCATGCGATTGTCTTTTTCGCCTCCTTCTCGCTGATATCGTTTGCCTCGGAAGATATTAAGGTGATGAACTCGACACAGCATTCTATGAGCAGATCGCGCGCATCCTTAGCAAAGGTCTGCCCGGATGAAGTGGGAAGGATTTCGGTTATTATTTTTTGAACGGTTGCTGTTATCGGGGATTTCGAAGTTAGCTGATGTGGGGTCCTTTTATTTTGTTATAACGGTGACAAGGGGATAGATGATTAAGAGGGTTTTTGCAGGGAGTGTAAGAAGCACTTTGCACAAGGAATGTGGGAATGCATAAGGAGCGGAATATGGCTATTTCGAAGTATAGTAGTACCTTTGGGCAAGGAAAGGTCATCATTGCCTGTTCCATTTTAGATAATAGATTAGCTTCGAGATGCACGAGAGAACAAGCGCGGTGCGGGGCTAATATCTACGTACCTCCAAACTCTCGGTCTGACATATTTATTCAACAGGCAAAATCTACTGATCCTTAGTTTAGTACGTCACGGAGGGGGATCAGAGTCAAAGCAATAGATATGTATAGATGTAGATGTCTATAACCTGATGAGCTCTTGGATGGAGATGTTTTATGTCGTGGTTCCCGCGTACCATTCTGCCACATCACGTGGGAAGAAATCGTTCACCGCCTTCTACGATGACTAAGATCCACACTTGGCTTAAATTTCTCTTTTTGGAAATTTCATTTTCACTTTTTTCTTCTTTTCTTCTCACCAGACACAAAGCACAAAACAAATGGGCAACAACAGCTTCCTATTTCCCATGTCAATTGACTGGGTAATTGACTTATGGAGACAGATATTATGATATCACCTTACAGTCGATGCTCACACTAACCAAATGGTATGTAATATTCTCTTTTCTCTTGTTTCTCGTCAACTTATCATGATGAACGTTGTTGTCGCCCCTATCATACAAAACGAGCATCAAGCTCCCGTGGTGATTTACCTGTCCAAGCCAAACGGACTATCTGATCATAGTTTTCTCTCTCCCCGAGGATTCTATTCTTTGTCTCCTTTGCCCCACATGTTCTCCTGGATACAATCGGAAAGGGGAAACACTGCTAACCCCAGTGTTTAGAAGCTATAGCGTACGTCCCATGCTTAGAGACAGCTCGATGGCCGGAGATGCAGTAGTACACAATGCCATGCCCAGTCCATCATTTGAACCATGAAACCAGCGGTGATTGTATGTTTGGATCGTGGATTTTAACAGCGTTTTGGCCTCGCCTTGGTCGTGTGCGTGACCTAACAATCATGATGAGCGAATACTTTTGTACTATCAAATACCGATCTTCAATGACGAATCCTTTACGATTCTCTGATACACGCACACGACTTACCTCTATCCAGGATGATTTAGCAGGCTACAATGGATCCTTCAGAGCAAGCTGATGAACATCTTGCTAATGCTAGAGTTCGCTTATGTTTAGGAATATCAGACTCGTGTAAAAAAATCTTGAGATATATTCATTCGTAGGTATGTTGGATAATTCCACTTCTGGTCTTTCCATTTTGTTTCCCCCGTTTATGTATATCCCACGTCTTGAACACGAGACAAATGATTAAAACATACACTCCATGCTAAATATAAAGGTGCCATTCTTGGCATCTAATGCTTAAATACATGTGTCCATTTTTCATCTTTCGACTGATGTCTCTTCAAATTGTTTATTCAATTGAGTTTTATTTTCGTCATTTTTGCACCGATTTATTCAAGTCTTGCTGACTTGACATTTGTAGACTTTCGCGCTTTAAGTTTGCCAAATAGACGAGACCGACCAATCAACCGCCCTGTGGAAAGATGCCGATTTTGGAATATTCGATCTGCCTCCTAGCCAGCCCCAGCTTAATAAGTTACTCCCTGGTTTAAGATATATCGCACTTACACCAACACGTTTTACTCAGATCATACACGTGCTTTGCATTAACGGTTGTTTCGTTTAAACAATCCTGCTCTTCCTGATACGTCAAACATGAACTTCAATTTTGTTTTCGCCATATATGACTGTTTCTATATAGATTCCTAGTGTGTATATGGATGGAGCGTCGGTGAATTTAAGTCTACAGGTTTCGCTTCTTTTAGGTATCATGAGATGGGTGGATCATCTGTTCCACTACACTGTAGCGTATGGCTAAATAGACAAAGAATATTTGATGGCAATCGAGATGCACCGTAATTAACATCATCAAAACGACTCTTCCTGCTATCATTGTGTGAGTAGACGTACAGCTTCAGAGAAGATCGATATCTGTATTGCAATGCTCCTTCAATAGTCACCAAAGAATCTTGCAATTGTCTCACTTTTATCCCCGCCATGGTGGGCAACACCCGCCCATATTTGAAATGCCTAGCACGACCATCTCCTCCGTCGGCAATAATTGACAGCTACAGGGCGTATTTTTGTTCTTCATTAAAAATAAGTCGTTATCCTATATCCGTCAACACCCGTTGCTATCCTGTCTTTTCCCTCTATTGTTCAGCGCATGCCAACAGCTTGAATTTAATACAAGCTTTGTTCGGGCCGAAGTTTGGGCTGGGGTTTCGATAACTTGGTTGGAGAAACTCGACCGCTCGGAGTTTTTGGTCTGCTTGCTGCTTGTGTTCATGAGGGAGGGGGTGTATATATATATACCTTAAAAGAGCGCTGTGGAGGGCTTGTTTGTTATTTATATACACTCGCTGATAGTGTACAGTTCATTCTTTCCATTTCTCTCTTTGATCTATATATTATTACAAACTAAAATAACAAAATACAAAAAATGTCCACCGTAATCATCGGCGGTGGCATCATCGGCCTCTCCACTGCATACTACCTCTCCCTCTCGCTCAACAGACACAAACACCAAATCCACATTATCGACCCAGCAGCTCACCTCTTCGACTGCGCCTCAGGTTATGCTGCCGGTTTCGTCACCCGCGACTGGTTCGCGCCCGATCAAGCCGCCCTCGGCGCCCTCTCCTTCGACCTACACGAACAGCTTGCGCGCGAGCACGGCGGCTATGAGAAATGGGGGTACATGCGCAGCACCGCGGTGGGGTTGCAGGTGCAGTATGCGGACGGGCAGAAGTCAGCGAGCGGGGATGATTGGCTGAGGCAGGGGGCTAGTCGGGCGGAAGTGGCCGTGAGGGCGGATGAGAAGAAGGAGGGGGAGCCGGATGCGGCGCCGGAGTGGTTGACGCCGCAGGAGGGGGGGAGAGCGGAGAGGATCAGTGATGTTGCGGGTGTGGCGCAGGTGTAGGTTCCCTTTTCTCCAGGTTTTGTTTCTTCTGCTTTTTCTGCTTCTGAATTGCCCGCTGGAAAATGCTAATGTTACTGCGCATGGGTGGATATGCATTAGTGACCCGCTACGATTGTGTCAATTCCTCCTGGCAAAATGTATCGAGCGCGGCGTCCAGGTCCACAACCCTGCGCGGGCAATCGGGCTCATCAAGGACTCTTCATCCGGTTCTACTACAGGCATAACGCTTCAACACCAGTGCACGAACACCCAATCAACCATCCCTTGTACAAACCTCCTCTTTGCCGCAGGCGCATGGACCCCCCGCGCCTTCGATGCCCTCTTCCCAACATCCCCCACCCGCATCCCTGTGACTTCCCTCTCAGGCTACTCCATCCTCATCCGCTCCCCCCGCCACACCCTCTCGCATGAAAGAGACACATATGCCGGAACGGCGCATGCAGTTTTCACAACCCACCCACGCTCCTGCGGCTTTAGTCCTGAAATTTTCTCGCGCGCCGGCGGGGAGATATACCTCGCAGGCCTCAATAGCTCGGAAACGCCCCTCCCCGCGCTCGCGAGTGATGCCCATGGCATGATGGAGGCAGACAAAGTTGCGCTTGTCCGCAAGACGGCAGTGACGCTGATGGGTAAGGCTGACCCGAACGTGGCGAGCAGAGATGCAGAGGGAGATGCGAACATTGATGATTTGGAAGTCGTGCGGGAAGCGCTGTGTTTCCGCCCGTGGACGGAGAGCGGGCGGCCGATTGTGGCACGTTTGGGGGATTGGGCTCTGGGATCGGGTGATGTGTCTCCTTCTGGTGGTGTCTTTATGGCGGCGGGGCATGGGCCATGGGGTATTTCTATGTCTTTGGGAACGGGGAAGGTTATGTCAGATATGATTAGGGGAGTTAAGACGAGTGCGGATGTGAGTGGGCTGGGGCTGGAGGCAGGGATGAGGCCTGCTAAGGCGAAGATATAGACTTTGCTTATGTAGAGAGAGCTATAGAGATACAGTAAAGAACCCTTGATTTCTGATAACTGCATTTGTTTTCAATATTCAGGTGTTCATTATTGAGTATTTCCATGCATTTTCCTCCCTTGATATTAAGGGGATAGAACAGGTTAGAGGATCAATTGGAAGTTCAGTGTAGAAGCACGGGAGGCCATGAGAATTTTGGCCCACCCCTATCCTGCTAGTTAGTGTAGATGGGTGTATCACATACATTCTCATCCTAAGACTGATACTGTATCTATATTATATAGGATGTTGTTGTCGTTACAGAGAAGAACATCTGATGTTTTGAGGAAAGGAGAACTTCGGCGCTTAACCCAAAACGGATAAATTACTCGCGCCGAGAAAAACATCCCGAACATATTTATGCAAAATATTTCAGTTGAAAACCAACGTTACACATTTTGTTCTCCCATCCCAGTGTTTTATTGCTACAGATATTATATATCCGCTGGTGATACTGAAGGCGCTGGCAATCGTCTAAATGTCAGCCAACGAGAGCTACAATGATAGCCACCGCGCATTCCTGCAAGCCTTCATGGCTCGCTCAACAATGACATACGAGCAAGCGAAACCTGTTCTAGCTGCCATATTTTCTGCCAGAGGTACTCTCTGCGATCTATTCTCATCCATTGCTACACTTTCCCAAGGGCCTGTCCTCAGGCGTGGACGCCCGCTAAACAAATTGAACACTTCTAACCACATAAACACCTAGACCACCAAGATACCCTCCCCGAAGACATCACCCAAGCCGACTTCTCAAATTACATCGCCACAATAAACACCGCCATCTCCCCCTTCGACCTCGAAATCCGCTCCACACGTCACCAGACAGAGCCTACCACCCGCATCTACGCCCTTGTCAACACTACCAGCGACCCCCTCACCCAACTAGCCACCACCTACAACGCAAACGAGATCGCGTTCGTCAAACGCGTCTTGGACGCCATGTTTGATACTTACAATACCCCGCGGCTGGAGGCGATGGCCGTGACCTCCATGCAGGTCGCGCAGCTGGCTAAGGTGCCTAGGGCTTCTGAAAGGAGGGAGTCCGCCGCCGCTGCTGCTGCGAATGGTGCACCCGCTGCCGGCGCGGCGCAATCGCTGGGGATACGTGAGGCGGATGATATGATGAAGAAACTCGTGGAGGAAGGATGGTTTGAGGAGAGTCGGAGGGGTTATTTCACGCTTAGTCCCCGCGCGCTTATGGAGTTGCGCGGGTGGCTGGTTGCGACGTATAATGATGACGAGGATGATAATGGTTCGGGGGCCGGTAGGAGGACTGCTAAGATCAAGACTTGTTTGGCTTGTAAGGATATTATTACCGTGGTACGTTTTGAGAGGTTCTTTATTTTTTTAATTTTTAATTTTTTTTCTCTGTTTCCTAATCTGCGGGGCTTCATTTCTACGTCGGTAATTCCTAATCAGATTGTTTCACAGGGCCAACGATGTTCCCAGCGCCAATGTCCCGGCCGTCTCCACGACATCTGCACACAAAACTTCTTCCGCCGCCAACAAGCGGAGACATGTCCGATCTGCAAATCGCAATGGACTGGAGACCACTTTGTGGGCGAGCGGGCCATTATCGCTGCCAATAAACAGTCAACAGCACGGAGACGGAGCGGGCGCCCAGCCGAAGGAGCTAGCAGCTTAGGCGGTCAAGGTGGCGCTGATGCTGGTGAGATGGCTGATGCTGCTGGATGAGGTAGGCTCATATGTGAAACTTTTAATAATGATTGGATATATGTCGATTTTACAAGGACCTGGTAATGCAGTATGGATGAGGCGGGTTGGTCGGTAGCTTTGTGATGCCGATGCTCATCGTATCAGGGCTATAGTGCCGGGGGCGAGGAAAGGCACATTAATCTCATCCCATCAGGAACTCGAGTGCATGTCTCTCTCTTGATCACACTTGTGGAGATTCGACGAGCAAGTGCATTACACAACCAACAGCGACCATCATGATGTTTTGGATTTGGGGAGGTAGCAGGGATAGAGCCATTCTTCCAGCTGGACACTTTCATAGGTTTCCTCAAGATGTGGGGAGACCTACCGTTTTCTTGCAAGTGGCCCGTTGAGGCAGACTAGATACCGCCTAGCTGGTTCTTCCAAACAAACGATCGGTATATATTATTTCCTTGTAAAAAATATCTGAAGACAATACTCGTCGTCTCAAGTCCGAACCATTGCAAGCCCTAACATGTCCGAAACAGGGAAAAACCAACCGCAATGACTAAGCCTCGACGATGACATCATCCATCCCAGCCAGAAGCTTCACTGAACCTTATTTTAAGGTTATTTCTTTCGATTTGCTCTCCGTCAAATATTAATATGCTCTACAGCTTTTCTCATTCGTCCATATATTAGCTGTCTCTTGTTTCCCTGGTACAACATTGAACCTTCCAGTCCAAACACCAACAAATAGGCATTGTCATCGTGCCTGTCCCGCTGTCGGCCCAACTTTCCCTGAACTTTGTTTTGCTTTTGAAATTGGAAGATCCCTGCCCTCGTAACTGGTCTTTTGTCATGATGATCATGATTAGTGCTTGCGCGCTAGATACGCCCACCCTGCATTTCTTGAGCTTGGTATTTGGCCGAAACCCTGAAGCTATCATGCAATCGTCATTTGCTAGCAGCTGGAATCCCGTTTCCGCTCGGGGTACCATTCGAGCTTCGGTCCTTACCTTGTTTCCGAGATTCATTCATGAGCTGCAGAATTTCATCACCATGCTCAGGTAGGCCAAAGGGATACGATGTTGCATCACCAAAGAAGTGATCGACATTGGTGACTCCAATGAGCTTATCAGTTTTTCCAGAAAATTTTGCTTTTCGTTTTACCTTCGCTCATATTTTGCTTTTCAGTATAACGCATTAGAGTTATCTCACCCCAACTTACAATTTTTAGACTCTCGAAACATCTTTAGCTAGCGATGCTCCGGCTTTTAGTCATTTCAGAGCTTTTTAATAGGGCTGATATACTTTCCCCGCAGCTTGTAAAAATTTCCGGTGGTTCTCCTAGTCTTTTTTTCTCGCGTCTAAACAGCGCTCCCTATATTCATTTTCTACCAGAAAGGTCCTTTCATTTCCCTGGATGTAGATCTCTATGTTGCTTTACATGAGCTTAGGCAGAATTCATCGCTACGCGTCATCAAAGAGATGCAGTATTAGATCTCTGTTTTTTATAATCACCTCGTTTGCTTTTGCGGGGAACCTGTGAAAAAGCAGCTCACCAGCCATGCGGATCACTGTGAGTAAACTGGAGCTTGCAGGTTCTCCCTGCTCCTTCTCAACTTCAAAAAACACCGACTAACCCCCAACAGCTTCAACTATGGAGGTCCGCGCTTCTCCTCCTGTACACTTCGACCATACTAGCGCTCCCATTTGCTGAAAGGGTCGCCAACGTCTTCGCAAAAAACCATATGTCATCCGACTCCGCAGCAAAACGCGATAGGGCGGACTGCGCTGAATTCCTCTACCTGACAAGATTCCCCTGCGTCACCTGGGACAACGATAACTGGAGGTTAACTACGACAAACCTCGACCAGGGTCACTATCAATCCCGCGGCTCCATCGCAAACGGATACATAGGCATCAACGTCGCAGCAGCGGGCCCGTTTTTCGAACTCGATGTCCCCGTTAATGGCGACGTCATCAACGGATGGCCGTTGTATTCGCGCCGGCAAACTTTCGCGACCATATCTGGCTTCTATGATCTCCAGCCGTCAACCAACGGTAGCAATTTCCCATGGATGAACCAGTACGGCGGCGAGAGCGTGATTAGCGGCGTGCCGCATTGGAGTGGATTGATTCTCGACCTGGGGAACAACCAGTATCTTGATGCTACTGTTGATGCCGCTGAGATCTCGAATTTCAAGTCCACGCTGGATATGAAAGGCGGTCTGCTGAATTGGGAGTATACTTGGTCCCCTGCTGGAAGGGAGGAATCGTTTCATATTTCGTACCAGCTTTTTGCGCATAAGTTGAATGTTAATCAGGCCGTTGTGCAAATGGCTATTACGCCTTCGGCAGATGTGGAGGCGAAAGTCGTTAATGTCATCGATGGGTACTCAGCTGTGCGGACGGAATTTGTTTCCTCGGGTGAGGATGGGCGCGCGATTTACACTTCCGTGAGCCCTGTGGGGATACCCAATGTGACGGCTCACATTTATGCCACGTTAACGGGCTCAAAGGAAGTTGACTTGGAGTCATTGAAATCAGTCCCCAATCCGCCCTATGTGCACATCAACCAATCTTCAATCGCCCAGGCCGCTGACGTTAAGTTACGCGCTGGCCAGAAAAGTATCGTCACTAAATTTGTGGGTGTTGCGTCTTCCGATGGATTTGAAAACCCTGGACAAGTGGCAAAGGACGCATCTGCAAACGCCGCAAACGCTGGGTATAATTCTCTTTTGGAGTCTCACATCGGCGAGTGGTCGACTGTTTTCCCAGACGACTCTGTCGATGATTTTAGACTTCCGGAAACTGGCTGGCTACCACTGGATAGCCACATCATCGAATCTGCTGTAACGGCCGTCACGAATCCGTTCTACCTTCTCCAGTCGACTGTGAGCGAGAACGCCCTCCAGGCTGCCAACAACGCTCCTATCCACCAGGGCAGCGTTTCTGTGGGTGGGTTGACTTCCGACTCATATGGCGGCCTAATCTTCTGGGATGCGGATATATGGATGCAGCCGGGTCTTGTTACTGCATTTCCACAAGCGGCTCAATCATTCACCAATTATCGTCTCTCCAAATATGGACAGGCCATTGGGAATGTTCACACTGCGTTTACATCGTCAAAGAATCAGACAAGGTTCTCCGAAGGTGCTGCGATCTATCCATGGACTAGTGGGCGGTTTGGGAATTGTACGGGCACAGGACCTTGCTTCGACTATCAGTACCATCTTAATGGCGACATTGGCCTCCAGATGATAAATAATTGGGTGACTACTGGCGATACCCAACATTTTAAAGAGAAGCTGTTCCCGGTCTATAATGCGATTGCGATACTATATGGTGATCTCCTGGAGAAGAACGGGACGACATGGACGCTCACTAACATGACAGACCCGGTATGTGCTTATCCTCCAAGATTCTTCTCTTCTTTGCGAGCTCCTATACTCTATAGTTGGTCTAAAAATACATCCTAACCGCGATCTAGGACGAATACGCTAATCACGTTGATGGAGGGGGGTTCACCATGCCCATGATGGCTACAACGCTGCTCTACGCAAATTCGCTGCGTCAAATATTTGGCCTCGAGCAGAATCAAACGTGGAATGAGATGGCGGAAAACGTACTTGTGTTGAGAGACCCTGGGGCAGACGTCACCCTAGAATACACGACGATGAATGGCAGCACTCTAGTGAAACAAGCGGATATTGTGCTTAATACGTTTCCGTTAAGATATACAGATGAATATTCGCCGCAAAACGCCCTGAGTGATCTGGATTATGTATGTAACGGCAAACCCGCTCCCCCGCTGTCCATCCTTTCGCCCCAATCCACGCATGGAGTTATACTCTGCTAATGCCTATCTAGTATGCTGCAAAACAATCCCCTGACGGCCCCGGCATGACCTATGCGATATTTTCCATTGTCGCCAACGAAATTTCTCCCTCTGGCTGTTCCTCCTACACATACGCCCAATACTCATATTCCCCATATATCCGGGCTCCATTCTTCCAGTTCTCTGAGCAGCTGATAGACAACTGGTCGGAAAACGGCGGCACTCACCCCGCATATCCATTCCTAACTGGAAACGGCGGCGCCAACCAAGTCGCCTTATTCGGCTATATGGGTCTGCGTCTCCTCCCAGATTTCGTCTTGCATATCGATCCCAACCTGCCTCCTCAAATCCCACATTTATCCTACCGGACGTTCTACTGGCGCGGCTGGCCCCTGAAAGCAGTCTCGAATTACACACATACGATGATCCAGCGTGCCACGGATACCCGGCCCCTCTCAACGGCTGATCAAAAGTTCGCCGACGCCCCTATCCCCGTCCATGTCGGTCCGGAATCAAACGTAACAATCTATTCGCTCCCGGGCTCCGGTCCGCTCACTATCCGCAATCGCCAAATCGGCTCCCAAGCCACTTTCCCGGGAAACATGGTGCAATGCCGACCCGTCTCATCGCCAGACGAGTACGAACCGGGCCAATTTCCCATCGCGGCCGTGGACGGCGCCGCCTCGACCAAATGGCAACCTAAGCGCGCAAACGCCACCTCCGCGCTAACCGTCTCCTTCCCCGATGAGGAAATCTCGGAACAAATCGCCGGGTTCGCCTTCGACTGGGCGCAGGCACCCCCTGAATCCTTCGCGGTCGTCCTGCACAATGCTCCACTCAGTCTCCCCGTACAACAAGAACAGGAGTCCACGCCATCGACAGCACTATCCGTCCCCTCCACGCCCGGCACACTCACAGTCGCCAACGTCCCCTCCCTCACCGTCTCAAACCCCTATGACCCAGCAACGACAGACCTGAACGTCATAGCCCGCTATATCGGAAACACGACTAACGTGACCCTGGCTCAGCCGATGCCGGCCACGCGCTTTGCGACGCTGTTGATCTGGGGCAACCAGGCGCTGGACGATGTGGATCGGAATGCGGGGAATGGGACTGGGGCGAGTGTGGCGGAGTGGTCGATCTTTAGGGCAGAGGCGGGCGCGGGTTCAGTGTTTCGGTGGCGGGTATGATACTGCGGGCGGGGAGGGGAAGTTTAAGGTGAGAGGGGTTGGGTGGTGGGGAGTAGGAGGGATTTGAAGGGAGGGATTTGTATTTCTATATAGCCTGCGGGTCATATGTGCATCATGTTTTTGGTATATAATGCGTAATTGATTAATATGTAGTTATTTATTGTTTCTGTTGGTTTATATATATTGTTAATCATAATAACTAGTTAACTAATTGGGAGTTATATTATTTAATTACGCCTGATTCCTGACAGTTCGCCCCTTTCTATTGGACTGCATGTCAGTTTTGCAACAAATTTATTTCGATTCAAGAAAGGAAGGCGGGAATAGAAACATAACATCCCTGAATTTAACAACTATAATTAAAGTAACTAAAAATATGGCTTCTCAGATCACACAAAAATAGAAGTACACAATTTTTACTTCCACCTCATGACCGAAAAGAAAAGAAGTAAGGAGCTATAACACAAACGTTCAAAACCACACAACCCAAGACTATCTACTTACGAGTGATCAGCATCGCTATCCATCAAGAACCGATTCAAGAACCTATTCTCCCTCAGCCCGTCGTCCAAGAACCGCTTCGCAAACCCCTCATTCACATCCTTGGAAACAAACACACCAGGCTGCGTCGGCGATTGATCTCTAGCCCGAGTCGCAGCCAGAACGGCCTTCATAGCCTGATCACCACCTGGGCCCACACCGCCAACGGGCTTTCCATACAAGTAGGCGTCCTCCGCGATCCTCATTGGCCGTCCGTTGGGGTAGTACGTCGAGTCGCTGGTGACCATGTTACCGACAATGATCACGCCGTCGTAGAGGGCACCGTCGGCGCCGGAGTATGTCACGGTCACGCCCTGCTTGGGCTCGAGGACTGGGCCTACGAGTCTGATATTTACTTTCTTGTTGGCCTTCTCGAATTCCTTGCGGAGGCTTTCGGCGATTTTGACATCGTCCGCATCACCGGTGGTTAGCAGGGCGATTGTCAGACCGTCGAGTCTCTCGAGCCTCATGCCGAAGGTGCCGAGGGGGACGGTGGTTTTGTTGTGGTAGAATTTTGGGTCCGGGGTCGGGGCTTCAACGCCGATTGTTCGGGCGACGCGGCGGGCGAGGTCGTTGTCGATGCGGTTCAGTTGGATGATGACGTTCTTGCGGACGACCTCGCTTGTTAAGTGGGAGGTTTCGAAGCGTATGGCGTTGACGAGGAATTGTCGCTCCGTGGGGGTGAGGGAGTTGTAGAATAGACGAGGCTGGGACCAGACGTCGTCGAAGCTCGGGCTTCGCTCGCGCGTCAACGGGCCGTTGACCTTACGCGAGGGTGCGGTGAAGAAACCTCTGTGATGGGTCATGTTGGCCTGTAGAGGGTGTCCACCAGCGAGCGTATTGGGTGTGTAGGCCGCGGTGTTTAGATGAATGAACGCTTGACCTGTTGGGGTCGTTGGTACAATATGCTTGGGATCGATATAGAAAAAAAAAAAAAAAAGGGATAGGGAACTTACTGGCACCGTCACGATTGTTGTTGTGGAAACGGACGCGGGGCCTGTTGATTGGGAGCTGCTCGAAGTTTGGACCGTTATTGCGATTCAGCTGTGTGTCAAGATAGGAGTAAAGACGACCCTGGAGCAAGGGATCTTCAGTGAAGTCGACGCCGCGAACGACATGGCCGGGTTGGAACTGCGGAATTACGGTTAGATATACGCTTCACCAAACAATTTGTACGTATGTATATATGTATATTCAAGGGCTGGACCTACCATAACCTGCTCAGTCTCAGCAAAGTAGTTTCTTGGGTTTTGGTTCAAGACCATTTTTCCGAGTGGGACGAAGGGAACCATGTCCTCTGGGATGATTTTGGTCGGATCTAGTAAATCGAAATCGAATTTGTTCGCATCTTCCTCACCCACCATTTGGACGCCGAGCTATACACACAAAGGGTACGAAAAGTCAGTCTTGGATTGAAGATGGTAATACGTACAGAAGAAGGAATAACAGAGGGAAAAGGCAAGGGCGGAACTTAGTATGAATAGGGGGATCTCGTACCTCCCACTCAGGGTAATTTCCGGATTCAATGGCATCCCAAAGGTCTTGTCTATGATAGTCCGGGTTTTTCCCTGCGAGAGTCTGCGCTTCTTCCCACAGCAAGCCCGCCCTTCCCTGGAGAGTCCTCCAGCGGAACTTGACGAGAGTCGACTTGCCCTGATCAGTGACAAGGCGGAATGTATGGATGCCCCACCCATCAACGTGGCGCATTGAGCGAGGAATTCCATGCCCGGACATGGCCCAGAAGAGTGTATGCATTGAGCTGGGCTGCTGGCTAAAGAAATCCCAAGCCGTGTTATGGGCAGTTGCAGCCTGGGGAATTTCATTGTCCGGGTTCGGTTTGACGGCGTGAACCAAATCGGGGAATTGGATAGCGTCCTGGATGAAGAAGACTGGAATGTTGTTTCCAACAATATCTACATTGTTACATAGTCAGAGATGCTATATTATGACGGGTTTTGATAATGCCAATATTGAGTGAGCTTACCAAAATTGCCCTCATCCGTATAGAGACGTGTCGCAAAGCCATGGACGTCCCGAGCAGAGTCAGCACTGCCTCTGCTACCGGCGACTGTGGAGAACCGCACGAACACTGGTGTCTCTTTGCCTTTGGCGTTCAAGAAGGACGCTGCTGTGAGGTTCCTCCAGTCCCTGTAGGAGGTGAATACACCATGGGCACCAACTCCTCGTGCGTGGACAGCGCGCTCAGGAACCTACATAAAATCACATTAGCCGACTAAAATTGGTAATATATATATATATATTATAATTGAAAGAAACATACCCGCTCATGATCAAAGTGTTGAATCTTCTGACGGAAGATAAAATCCTCAAGGAGCACTGAGCCTCTGATTCCAGCCTTCAAACTCTGTTGATCTTCAATTGGACCGCCCACGTCCGTTGTCATTACCGAGTCCTTATCATCGAGATAGAATTGGCTCAAAAACTTCTCCGTGTCGTGGGAAGCTTCTTGACGGCGATCGAGGGGGCCATTCTGGGAGTCAGGCCCATCCCCTGACATATAGGGACATGCTGCGGAAACAACACTCGCCGTGGCGAATAGAAGCTTGAGAGCCCGCATTTTGGACCAAGGAAGAGTAGAAGCCGTTTCCGTTGAGCAAGTTGTTTTTCAAGATATGAAAAGGGAGATATATGTCAATATCTACACATGTACGGGTATAGATGGTATGTCTATCTAAATGTTGACAGGGCCCCAATTGACTGCGAAAACTCTGCTGTGTAGGAGTAAGAGAACGTCAAAAAAGAGCCTACAAGGAGACAACGCATATAACCCAGAAGTGGGGAGACAGGGGAAGTGACACAAGGCGGGAAAGGAGACGGGGATGCATACAGCTAGCTTTCTTTGAGAATAAAAAAAAACAAGGTGCAAGTTCATAATCAAAAAAAAAAAAAAAAAAAAGGCCGGAACCCTAGGCCCTGAGCCGCTATACATACCCGCATCTGGTCTGCAGCAGCACAAGATACCTGCATGATTAGCTGGTTCGGCACAAAAAGTGCAGATGACAAGGAAACAGGAACAGGCAAAATGGTGCGTCATTGGAATTTTAGATATAGTAGCAGAGATTGGACTGAGAGGCCATCCATTGGGGACGGAATAGCTTCAGCTGGCTGGCCTAAGGATATTTCTGTTAATATAGAAGTTACTAGAGGATTGAGGAATGTGGATCAAGGGACAAGAGATATGTAGTACAGGTGTAACTAGTAACTTACTTTGTACATGTCTTTTCTCCTGATTCCTTTGTAGGCAATAACAAAATCACAGTGATCCTCTTCTTGCTGAGCATTTGCTGAATCCTGTTCGACACAGCAGCTCTGTACTGTACTGTACACAGCTAACTAGCTATTGTGTGGGTATGAGCAATAATGAGCACGATCGATCATATTGAGGGAAGCTACTCCGTAACTAACTACGGAGTACAGTGTCAGGTATTAAAAGTTTGAACCCCCCAAGAATATCTCACTAACCCAAACCCAGTTATGTCGGAATGCTGCTTTTATCATACTATTTAGTTACCCCTTTTTTACATCCGCTCATTTACAGTAGCGTAGCTACAAAAAGAGCTTGAATAGAGGCAGCTAAGGAGGCATGGAATGCTATTGATGATAGTATTCTATATAATCTTTCTGCTACCATGCCTCATCGAGTGAAGGCAGTTATAGAGGCAGGAGGATGGTATATAAAATATTAATATAAGATCTTTGCAAAAAGCAGCATATAGAGGTTAGTGTAATCTCGGCGGCCAGGGGGGGGGGGGTTTCAAACTTAATACCCCACTGTACTCCGTAGCTAGTCAAGGGAGAGAGAGAGAGCTTCAAGCCTGCAGCGACAAATCTCGGCATTGGCTGCCGATCAGGAGCTGGATCAGCGCCAGCGAAGTCGAGCCAAGCGGTGAATCACGCTGGATTCGGGCTGAAAATAGTGAAAAGATGCATCCGGCGCCACAGGCGTGAAAGGATATGAAAGGATACGGGGCGCTTGGCGGGACGGGGGAAACCTATAACATCCCAAGGTTCTGCGAGGAACGGCGAGAAAAAACGAAAGCTGGTCAGAGCCAAGCGCGAATCAGCTCGCCGCAAATCCCTAGCGCATTATTTTCTATTCCATTGGGACTTGAACTGAGGATGGGATGAAGACCCGGGTGCCAGCGCATGAAATATGTATTTATGTACTCTGTATAGTGTATAGGTAACTGTATAGGTAACTTACAGATGGATCATTACAACCCACAGCGAGCTACCTTCGTATGGCCATATTCTCTCAAGGAAAAAAAAAAAAAAAAAAAAAAAAAACAAAATTCCCTTGGCGAGCAAGGTGGCCAGGATGGAGAGGGACCGCCGGGTGCACACATGTACACAGTACGGTGTTGGACTAGATCAGATTGGCAACTAATTATTGAGAATTCGCGCAGACAAATTGACAATAATAATAGCTCCAGCGTAACTCACTCCACCGTGCAGGATGCAATGCACGGAGCGCTGCAGATCACGGCAACAGGAACAGGAGTTACAGATGTATGTACAGTACATGTACTCTTCATCTCTAATATGCAGCTCTGCTGATAAAAAAGGGTGAGCTGGCAGGGATATTCTCAGCATGGTCATGGTCATTGATTAATTCCCCTCCCCGTCAATGATGTCAATTGAGGTGATCTAGAATTGGACGAATGATGCTAGCATTCCCACGCCTGGGGATATAACTACGGAGTACACTAATCTATCCGCATGCCATAAGAAATTTATAGGTGTAACTATTTTGAATAGCGAGTGCTGCAATCGTTATTTAGACTAACTTCAAATGCCAGCAGGTTTCAAGACAGAAGAGGTAACTAGTTATTATTATACCTCTTATTATTCTCCTATTTCAGTCAGAGACTATGCAGGAGACCACCTCCCAGCACCTTAGTCCGGGGGCAGAATTTATTTCCAGCCACTCATCTGGCTACCCTGGCTGAGGTGTATGTAGATCTCAAGCAGTCTTTACTACAGCGTAATGACATGATTTTGTTGTGTACATGCATCATTGGTCAGGGGAAATCCTTCTCTACTCTCAATTTGAAGTCTATGATTCTTTGACATCTCTACACAGTGTAAGTGAGACTGTCCAATACAAAGACAACATTCTGCCTATCATATATATATAGTGGACACCATTTCCTTCTAATCTACGGAGTACGGAGTACGCTGCGTATTAATATTGATTAACCCTCTGTAGCCAAGAACTGGCCCCAGATTGTAGATGTAACCAATAGATTATGAAACTAGTTATGACAAGTCGGGCGGATGGCAGTAGTCTGTGTGTGGCAGGAAGCCCCAAATTTATTTATATCTTTTATATCCTTTTGAGTTCTTCGCCATCCAACGCATCTAAACTGTGTTCTGGGAAGTCGTTCACCTGACTGGGGGATGTTTCCCATATTTTGCAGATGCTTGCGCCCTGAACTAAGTGACATAACTCTGCCCAGCGGTGTCCGGGATATTCCAGGAAAGGAAATGTCATTTCCGCCCCGTGAGGATGGGTGTGTTTTGAAAGTAGAATTCTAGCTTTACAGGCTTTTGATAGACCTCAAGTTCAATCGGGGGTAAATCTAAATTTGCCAAAATACAAGCAGCTCTGTAGGTTTTAGTCGGCGTGAATGGTCGGGATGGAGCGGAATTAGGGTTAGGGTTTGGCGGGACCAAGCCCTAAGTCGGGCCGCATCCGGCATGGAAACTCTCCACTTTAGTCTATAAAATGAGGACGGAATCCGTAGTGTACGTAGCGTAGTTCATCGTAATACTTCACCGCAAGTACATGTGTAGACCGGGCTGGATATCACGGTGATCCCGTTATTTAGACGTGCAACTTTGAGAGCTGCTCGTGGGCTATAGTTAGCTCCCTAGTGAATTTTGGGTTCGGGAGCGGAGCGGAGCGGGAAGGGACGGGGCGGAGCGGAGAGTTAGAACATTCCCCACAGCATCCAAGAATCGGGAGCTGTTGCAGCGGAATCTTGATGTAAAGTTGCGTGCCCCGCAAACAACATCTCCGCCGTTGAGAGGCAAGGGAGATATTTCTCTTATTTTAGAATCCTTCTTGGGATTCCTTCTTGGCTATTGTCAACAGTGACATAACCCAAAGCTAGCATGGTAGCTATATACGGCCGAGCCTTGCTCCAATTCGAAGCTCCCGTGGGGACTGGCTGACTTAGCGCCCAAAAATACACGACACCGCAGCCATAACTGCTTGGGCAACCTATTGGCCATTTACATATATATGTACACGTCATCCACGGTCCCAATCTTAATATCTTAAGGGTGAGGACCCAACTATGGCTCCCCGCATGCGAAGGATTTATTTGCTTTTTTGGTATTTAGGTGCGGTTTTTTTTTTTTTTTTTTTTTTTTCCCTCTTCGTGATGGCGCACAAAAGTTTCTTTCTGATCTGGAACCCAGCGAATTAATAACAGCAGAGTTGCTGGCATCTAATCTGTACTCGGCCTGCTGAGATGGCGCTGATATAGCTTTGAGCCCGTTTTTGAGCATCGCGGATGTGAGGCTGAGAGCAGAGGATAACTGGACCTTGGAAGAAACAGAAGGCGAGTAGAAAAGGAGAGGAGCGGGAGATCACAGCAATGAAGCTTAACATATTTATCCCATACCTGGCGGTTGCTGTCGCGATTGCATTACAAGGGATAACGCTCATTTACGTCCCCCCGAACTCCTACAAACGGATATGCATGCTTCCGGTGATTCTGCTCCCGGTTGCGATCGTCTGCCTGACAGCTCATCATGCTAGCTATGTCCAGCCATGGAATATCTTCATCGGATTGGAGTTTGGAACTCTGCTTGCGCTTGAGGTGTTGGACAACGTATGCCTGTCTAAGATCTCATATCCTACAGAGGCGGGCGATAGAAAAAAGCACGACGGTGACAAAGACACAGCCGATACACACGCTGCCTCTACAAGGAACTGTTTTTACGATAAAGTCCGCTGGTCGCTTGACATAGCCATTAACAAAAGACGGATTAATCGCGCCGACCAGACCCGAAATGTGCCCTCTTTCGATTCTGGCAGGCTGCATCACATTCCATCGCGTCGCAGCTTTCTCCTCTTCCGCACCGCACGCTTCATTCTGCTATACCTGGTTTTCGATCTGATTACCAGCCAACCACTTGAGGATGCGCAGGCGAAATTTGGTCCAGGCAAGGACCGAATTTTCGCCCGGATAATGGCGAATGACATATCGCCCGCTGAAATCGGGGAGACGGTCGGCATTCTTGTGGGCCATTGTATATGTGCCTATATCTCGCTGCTTATTGGATATGACTTTTTCTCGCTGGTTGCTGTAGGGCTGTGCGGGGCCAAGGTTTCAGATTGGAAGCCGTTGTTTGGAGATATTCGACAGGTTTATTCCATCAGGACATTTTGGAGGTATGTATAGTATATGTCCAAGGAATCCCAGTTTCCTCCAAATATGTCTCTCCGTGACTTGCACAAGAAGCAACAAAGCAAGAAAAAACTGACACCGCGCCAAAATATGGCAACCAACAGGCGATTCTGGCACCAGCTCCTTCTCCGGCCCCTCGAATCAGGCGCCTCCTTTATCACCCATTCAGTCCTTGGTCTCCCAGGCCTCCCTACCCGAAACACCAGCCGCATCACCAGTACCGACGAGAGTAATGGTAAAGCCTCTACCGCCAAAACACACCTCCGATTGCAAGACAGACTCCTGCTCCTCGTAACCGCCTATACCAAACTCACCCTCATCTTCCTGATATCGGGCCTCGTCCACATAGACTGCGACCGCATCCTGGGCATCCGGCTCCGCGACTCCCGCTGCATATCCCTGTTCCTATCTCAGGCCTGGGGCATCATGTTTGAGGACGCGGTCCGGTGGATATACCGCAGTGTCACCGGGAGCAAGGGAGATGGGCCTGTGAAGATGTGGCACCGCCTTGTTGGGTATGTGTGGCTCGTTACTTTCGCGCTGTGGGCGGGGCCCGCGTGGGCTTTTTCGGTTGTGAGGCTGGAAGTGCCCGCGGTTGTGGTGCCGGTCATGATCTTTCCTAGAGGTTGAGAGGCGTTGTTTTTTTGGTTTATTTGTTCTCCACGAAGACGTTGGATTGGGGTTATGGTATTGGATCAATAGGGGATATATCTATAGCAATTTGGATAAACATTTGGAATAAAATATTTTTGGATAATAGAGGGAGCATGTTAGATACGGATCTATTTGGATATAACACATATATATGCATATATAAACCTAGTCTCTTTATTTCAATATTCTGTCAGACTTGTTCCTGAAAGTATCTGGGTACGGGCCAATGCTCGGCAGTCGTTGCAGCTAAGTTGAATATGTTGCCGAGCCTGGTGTATCTCAAACAAGGATCCCGGAGACTTACTGGAATCTGACTGGGAGGGTACGGTGATATCCTAATTAGATACGTCCCTTCATTTGCGTCGTAAAAGAAAATCTATCTAAGTCTAACCAACACTTTTTTTTTTTTACCAAATAGCTGTCTCAGTAGCCAACATTAACCACCCTTGTTTTAACTTCTATCGCTGAGTGAGATCTATGTGCAACCTTTTAGTTTCGCAAGCTCTGTCCTTGCATCTTCTTGCGCTCTTCCGCCAACACTTCCTCAGTAACCTTGACCAAAACCTCGAATGCCTGGCGGACATACTTCTCTTGCGCCAGCGGATTCCCGCTCACGACCCGTATCACCGTATACCCACCAATCACCGAAGACGTCAGGAATAATTCGCCGCCGGCATTGATCTTTTCACAAACCTTCTGAGTAAGGGCCTGCGTCGAAATGGTTGACGTGTCCTTTGACCCTACTGTCTTGGCCACCCCGTCGTTCAAACCGGACGTGCCATTAGTCAAAGATGCAGTCGAAGCGGGGGAGGCCTCATCCAGGCCTCTAACCCTTACCGTGGTCAATCCGATCGAAGGCCCTGTGACTATCTCGAATAGATCCGGTCGCGTTTTAGTGAGGTTGGAGAAGACGACGCCGTTCTTTATGCCCTTGCGGATATGCGCTTTCATGCCAGATAGCCCGTAGGTGCGCATGACGAACCAGACCTTGAGTGCGCGGAAGCGTCGGCCCAGTGGGATGCCCCAGTTGCGGAAGTCTGTCACGGGCGTGGTGAGGCTGCTGGGATTCCGCAGGTAGGCAGGGGTTATGTCCAGAGCGTTGGTGAGGTGGATGGAGTTGGAGACATAGAGTAAACTATAGTTGGTGACAAAAGGGTGTGGGCGTTAGCACTGTGGCAGACATGAGGGAGAGAGGAGAGTATGAAGCAATATGTAAAGAACATATTTTCTTTTTCTTTCTTCTTTTTTTCTTTTCTTTTTTTTCTTTTCTTTTCTTTTTCTTTTTTTCTTTTTCTTTTTTTCTTTTTTTCTTTTCTTTTGCTTTTGCTTTTTCTTTTTTCTTTTTCCTTTTTTTTTTTTTTTTTTTTTTTTTTTTTTTTTTTTTTTTTTTTTTTTTTTTTTGGAAGAAAGCAGCAAAAGGGAAAAAAACATTACCTGGCGTCGAAGTTAACTAAGAGCCACTTGGACAGATTCACCATGAAGCTATCCACTCCCTCCGCAAACTCCTGCGCAATGTGCTGCCATTCCTCTGTCACGAGCGCGGAACCGGCATACGCACCATCGATATGGACCCATATCTTCTGCCATGCCTCCTTCTCCTTCAGCACCGCCTTGATCTCCGAAAACCGATCAATGGCGCAGGAATTAGTAGTGCCCATCGTGGCAGTCAGGTAGAACGGCTCCAGGCCCTCGCGCTCACACTGCTCTAGCATCTTGCGCAATCCATCCCCCGTCATGGCTAGACCATCCTCCAGCCGTGTGGGGATAGCGCGGTACCGCACCCCGGCAATCCGCGCACCTTTCGCCGTGCAACTGTGCGTCTGGTCAGTGCCCACCGCCACAAGCCGCGTCCGCAGCTCCATGGTCCGATCTTCCCACTCCGGGGTGCCCTCCACCAACCCCTCGGCCAGCGCCTTGTCCCTCACATGTCTTTCCCGAGCGGCAACGATGACGGTCGCAACGATCTCGCTTGCGGTGCCCTGAATAGTTCCCCCGCCGGTACTCTTCCCTGACTTCGACGACGCAGCGCTGAGGAAGCAATCCGGCAACCCGAGCGCCTGCGCCATCCAGTCCATGACGATGATTTCCAGCTCCGTGCACGCGGGCGAGCACAGCCAGTTGAACCGCCGGCAGCGGTGAAGGCTGCTGAGTACAGTTCGCCGAGGATGGAAGGGTACGTCACGCCTGCAGGGAAAGTAGGCCATGAACTTTGGGGACTGCCATTGGTCAGCCCGGGCATGATTTTGGACTCGATGTCCGGGTGGATTTTGCTCCATGGCTCCGGGTCGTTGGGGGCCGATGTGGGCATGAGCGGACGGAGTACCCAGGCTCTATGCTGGGGACGACTCTTTTCGAG